AAATGATAAGAGTAATCTCCTACAATCATTTTTCTGCAGATGATTAATTAGCCTCTCTAGGAATACCTACCCAGGTCCCTTAAAGGACGTCCCAATGGTTAAGAACTTGAGTCTCTATGTTAGGGATTTTAGGTTCTAATTTTAGGATAGATGGAGAGAGATTTGGAATGGAGAAAGTTATCTTATATCGTATAACCAATTATTCCATATACCCAAAAGAAAAAAAGAAAAAAAAAAAAAAGCAATACCAACCCGGCCCAGTTGACAACACAATTGCATTGTCTGCATTCATCACCCAATCAATCCATAGGACGAACCCGTGGCATATCCCAGGCTCAGTGAATTTCACCTGCAGGAATTACTTTTTCCAAGATTAAATGTGCAAGATATGTTAATTTAAGCATAAAAAGATGGCTTCCATCATGGTTTATATTACTTGCTACTGATCTTATATGTTTAATTAATTTGCAAGATGCATAATGGGCTAACAAGTCCTAGCTTTGATGTCAAGTATATGGATCCAGCAGAATGGATGGACAAGAGAAGTTACATCATGCTGTAAACTAGCTGGTGAATTCTCCTGTTTAAGCAAAACTATGGGAATTAAACAAAGTTAATGAAACTAGATCGGTATATTGTAGAATTATGCGACCCATATAAGAAGATGATGAAATTTAGGTGAGAATTTCTAGTAATCTATGTTACTTTTGCACATAAGGTAGACTGATACCTGCACTTGTCCATAACATGGACTAATTGGGTTTGAGCAATCAAACTCCAATAAAGTAAATATCTCACTGAGCTCCTGCAACATATTCAAAATATTTGCAAGATATCAATTCCATGATTATGTGTCATCATAATATCAATTCCATGAATGTGAGTATTAACTACCTTAATCTCACCACACTGCCAGATAGGAAAGGGCAGACAAGGTCCCTCTTTTGGAACCTGAATTCACCACATGCACCTATAGTATTTACTATTGAGTGATCAAAGCCTTCAATCTCATTTAAGCAACAGCGACTGTTCCAAAGATCCTGCATAAAAGGTTATTCACAATTGAAGTTCGAATACTTGAAAAAAAATATTTAAACATAATATTAAACAAAAAGGCCAAAATATCCTTCTTTCTTTTGACCTCCCTTCTCTGGGTTAAGTGATAATACAAGCTTACTGGCAGAGACATAGCACATGCCTTCAACATTCCTTTACAAGGCATTATCAACACATCCTTTGAGAGGATGGGATCAAGCATTGTTCGTTCCTTCCTAAATCAAATAGAAAATTTCTAGGGGAAGGAATGAATGAAATTAAGGTTTGTGTTTTAGGGTATATATTTTATATTTCCTTGAAAAAAAATATAGATTTTCGGGTTTATTATTCGGTTGTTTGAGTTTTGAGCTTGGAATCAAACACCGCATCGACTATAAACGGTTGAGGCCCGAAACTGTATTCTTGGGCCCGAAGCTTGTTTGTGCCTGCACCGTAGGCCCAATTTTGTTGCGGTTGTCTGGCAACCATGCGGCTGCCCGCGTGCGCGCCCAGCCCTATGAGGGACACTAGGCACGCACTACCCAATTGACAAGCAATTGCAGAATACCACTGCTGTAATTGGCCCCATTTCTGACAAAAAAAGAAGTACGAGGGACAATAGGCACTAAAGCAGGCATTGCCCTGTTTCAGTGCATGCCTTGTCTTGTAAAAAATTAAAAATAAAAAGATTGATTACTCACATGAAAAAAAATCTAAACAATAATATCATAATATGATTTTATTTAGAGATTTTATAATTATTTTATTTTTAATGAAAAATCAATTAAGAAGGTTATTTAACATAAATTTTAATTTTTTAACTTTTTTTTA